CTCTGATGCCCGGGTTTTTCTGGATCGGCTCATGTGGGGCTCGGAGAGGCGCATGTTCGGTTGAGCTAACTGCCTTCTTATGACAGTCTACTGCATGCGTCCAGTAAGAAGTAGTGGGAGCCCTGCCCCTGAATGTCAAAAAAACGCCCACCCAACCAGTAGCACAAGTACCCCGAAACCAGCCAATAGTTCTGAGACCTATTCAAGATTCATGGTTTGGGGGTGGTAAATATTGGGAGAAGGGACAACAAGTCTTCAGAAGTAGAACTGGGTTCAGACTGTCGTAATTCCCAAAACACGCAATAAGAATGATGGGCATCTTGTGGGGTAGTTCAGCGACGACTACGGATCCTCTCAGAAGCGATTTAGGGGACATTTTGAGTGGAAAGCGGGCGTGTCTCTCGGCGATAATGCGCCGAAACCTTTGGAGCGCTGAGCTTTCAATGGTGTTGGCTGCTGCTGAGACGACTAGATCTTCAACCTGACGGCTGAAATCCAACGATTCGGGCAGTAGGGTGGGCAGCATAATTGCAAGAATTTGTTGGGTCGACAAAGCGTAACGAATCATTCAAGGAAGCAAGAAGTAAGATTCACATGAAGGAAACACGGTAATTAGAGATCTCCAGCAGGTGCCAACGGCAGCCTTTTCCAAATGTCACTTAAATGCGCATCAGGAGTGGGAACGACTTCAAGCGGGGAGCACAGTTACACGGCCGTTCCTCAGAGTAGGGCTGCCCGTCATCTACTTCCAGCACTAAAGGAAAACCCAGAACGTGAAGGCAACCCCAGATCAGTCCTAAGTTCAAGGCCTTGGTCCGGATCTGCAAGCTGCTCAATCCTAAAAACTCCAAACTACCGCAAAATCCACTTCCACTCCTGTGACTCAACTTCAAAGTTTGCATGCCAGCGTTGCATTTCACCGGCTTTCGAGTTTGGGGTTTCAGGCTCAGGGGTTCTCGGGATGGTTCGGGAAGTGGGGAGCTTGAGCTGAGAGTTTGGGTTTTTTTGCCTGAGGACCGCTGAAGATCGGGAAGCACCGGCTATCTTTTTTCCCCCTTAGAACCTTAGGTCTTGAAGGCTTCAAGCTTAGGAGTTTGGGGTTGAGAGATTGGGGTGAGAAGCCTTCAAAACTATATGGTCCTCTTCCTCCAGCCATAGCATGAAGACCCCATTGGAACAACGTGCTCGATGCGTCTAGTCCGGTGATCACATGTCACCTTCCCAGATCGTTTGCTAGACAGTGTCAACAATGGATCAGACTCAATATCAAGGGTTACGCCGGGGAGCATTGCTTTGAAGGGTGTACACTTCGGGGGCTTCAAATGCTGGCTGCTGAATTGAAATATCAGCCGAAGATTCCTACGCTCTACAACGCCAAACCCTCAAGCCGCAACGGCTGGCCTCAGGCACGGCAACTTTACAACATGCAGCATGCAAATTCAAGCAGGATTGGAACTTTCTAGACTGCGTGATTCAAAATCAAGGCTTAAAAGCCTCGTGTGCCCCTGCACCTTCAGTTTGGAGGGCTGTGACTCTCGTCCCTACACCCCAAGAAGCCCCAAAATGTAAACCCTCTAAACCCTGAAACCACCCTAACCATAAACCCAGAGTAGTTTGTGGTGTAGCCACAATCACCTGGGCAAGATGTAAGAGAGCTGCGCCATACGACTATCAGCAGCATGATCATCATAGCCATCCTACCAGTATCTGTAATCTGTGGCTCATGTGCTTGGCCCGCCCTGAAATTTGCTGACACATTGCAAATGGGATGGTGTGATGCCTTCCGTGGAGATGGCAGGAAACAGAAACCAAAAGTCAGACACGAGGCGTCCACTGTTTGTGGAAGAAGCCTTGCGCCGCCTTTAGCATCCTGAATTCCTGGAGTCATACGACCTTGGGTGAAATAAACATTGTTGTATTTTCTGTCATCAACCGAATCACTGATGACATCTTAACGAACCCTGAGTCATTGGAGAGGACGTCTCTCATGAAGCAGGGGCACAGTATGCCGTGCATGACCAGTTACTGGTGCACCGGCCGCTTCATAAAAAGTAACACGGGGGTCACTCAATCCATACGGGCGGTTCTCAGAATGATGAGCCTTGATATGGCAACCAGTAACTAGTATGTCATGTGCGCACATGTAACCTAGTCCTGGTTTTCAAAGATGCCACCCGCCTCAGCCCCGTGTTCGATATCTAGGAAAACGATCAGACGCCAAGAAACCTTGCAATCCGCTCTGCCTCTCTGCAATCGCGCTATCTTGAAATTGAGGGGGGACAAAGGTAAAGGCCGCCCACCTGGAGCCAGCCTTTCCACAAAGCCTATATATCATCTTATATCTCATGGCCCGAAAATCCTAAAAGCTGATTTCATTAGAGGCTCATGTCGCCCACAAATCTCGTGCTGTCATATGGACGCGTGGCTGGGGAGGAAGCTCGGCCAGCAGATTAAAAAGAAACAACGCTACGGCACCAGCTTTCGCAGAAATGACATGAACAACAATGCAGCAGCAATTGATCAGGCAGTAAGAGGCTTGCCAAATGATGGGTTGCCTACATTTTGAACAGAACCAGCATTGTAACAAATTGTTAAAGCTGCGATAGACTCCCCAGGAAAACATAGAGACACCCGCGAGACTTCTACAACAGAAAATAAAAATTGAGCAGCCCTAAACTTCCGCTCATTGGGCAATGCATGAGAGCTTCTGTTTTAAAACAGCTGGAATCTTGTGGAATGCTTCGGATGCCGGAATGTTTTCTGGATAGTCGTCAGTTGCTAAGATGCCACCCACCAGGCACCCAAGGAAAATCCGACTAGAGGCTCAATGGTTTTGTAGGCTAGGTTTGACAGCCCCAAACTGTAAACACTCAACTGCTACGAGTGGGTGGCAAAAGTCCTTTGTCCCACCAAGAGGCAGCTGCTATTGGATCATCCAGGCCGGCAATGGGAGATTTCCAATTGAGGGTCAAGCTAAGATCTGTGACTAGGATTTGAGATTAAGGGCACTTATGCTTTCAGCTTTAGCCTGCTACCTTGGGATACAGTACCAACTTCTGGTGCTGGAACTTCATGTTGGGAGTTAGTGATTCTTTCTTCAGGGAAGCACGGTCAAAGAGTGTGGACATCTTGCGTACATGAATTGCGGCTATAGGGCATATCAAAGTATCGGAAACCACCCTTTCACAGCCGTGCGGAAAGCTCACATCGTGGAGCAGGAGCCGCAAGAAGCACCTAAGTCAAGTTGGTTCAGGTGTCTGTTACCCTGAGATTTCTGAGCTGGGGATTTTATGCATCCGGGCTTAGGGTACTGTGCTTGTACAAATCCCAGATCTGCGATATTTGAGCAGCGTAAAGTCCCCACAACTGCCCCCAAAGGCAAGGATTCTTTCTGTCAGGACAAAGAAAGCAGGACTAGGATCACGGCCGCTACTCATCCAAGAGCACGAGCACATGCAACAAAAGCATCACAAATTCAGAGATCTTACCCACGCTCACATGATTCGGAAAAACTCGCGATGCCCTCTTAGATGTCCCCCTCCTCCAGGTCCAGCTCCAGCTCGATGCTACGAGCTGCATCTGCGTCTACTCAGTCTAGCGCGTTGGGCCATAACCCTTCAATACAGACTCAGTCAAAACCACGCTTGCACTGAATTCAGCAAAAAGGAAGCTTGTCAGGCCTCTAGACTACAGCCAAAACATATACCCAGATCATTGGCCTGTTGAACGGAGCCGAATGTTCTCCTAGATGCTTTCGAAACAACCCCGCTAAACATGGCTGAAATACGCTACCGGGAACTCGCACCGACCAGTTTCACTCTGTGGCCTTACAATACAATGATCACCTGCTCGTCATCATGAAACATATGCATCGATCGCAGGGCTCAAGATCACGTCCCAGAACAAATCACCTGTTTTCCTCTAGACTGCGTTTTAACGCCAGAACTGCCTGCAAGGATAGATGTCAATTCGCCCAGGACTAAAGTAAATTCGTATGTTTGGGTGGCCGAAGCGTGGCATCTGGTCCGGCATGTCTTCCTAGTCGAAATCATGCTGATAGGGGAAATATTATTCAGTGGATGGCGTTTCGAGAACCCACACATTTTGTGGACCCTTGTCTGCTCAAGACCAACCATACTCCAAACCTCCAACACCTTACAGGCCCACAAGCTGCAAACTGACCGGATGCACCGTCACCAAGGGTCTAGGTTGTAGGCACGTCTAGCATAGGATTTCTGTACTCCGCAGGTCGCACAAAATGGGTGGTCGGATCTGTCCTGAACCCTAAACGAAACCCAAGACCCTTAGCTGCAAACTCTGCACCCTAACCCAACCCAAACCCCACAGCTGGATCCTAAACCCTAAACAAACCCTTCAACAGGGGTTTCGGCCTTGAGGTGCTGCGACCTTCAGTAGCTGATTCGTCACCTCTTCCGCTGAAGGTCCTGCAAATTCAGGAATACTCAGTGCGACTTGGGACCATGATCATAGCTGTTTTTTCTTTCTGCGGCTGGAATTCACGTTGAAAGTCTTCAACAACGACCCCAAAGAGGGCCTGCAGAAGAAGCAGGCATCCTCACTACAATTACAAGTAGCAACCAGCCTCAGCAAGGCTAATGACGCTCAATAATGCCTGATGATCCTCAGGCGTTGTCCCTTGTTTGGGTCTTCAGGATAGAGTTGCTCAAAGCTAAAGAAGTCTCTCCGAAACATGTTCCAGAACAACAAACAATAAAAGGTGCTGACACCGTTCCATTCCCTCTTTGGACCAGTTGTGGGCTGTTGCGTTGGGCTGCGTGAAAAACAGTTTAAACAGCACACATTGATAGCTCACCATGCACATGCACCTGGTGTAATTAATTTGGGGCGAGATGAGAAACCCCAAAGCGCCCGCACAAATGACGCAAGCTCGGACAAGAAATTCTAAACCTTGAGCGAACCTTCAGCCCTACACCGCAAACTTTAAGACCTAGACCCTGATGGGGATTCTGGCGAGCAGCGCGAGAACTTGTCGACATGCCAGCAAGGCTCAATGAGGCCTGGCGACAGGGGCTGTGGAATCTCTTTCCATGTTAGGGTTTGCTGCTTAAATTGTGGGTTCCAGGTTTAGGGCTTCGGTTCAGGCTTCGGGGGAAGGGTGTAGGCTCTAAGGTTTAAGGGTGGTGATGATTCCCGTTTGAGCGCCTTTTGGAAATAGTGAACAACCTCTGGTATTTTCCACGAAGAACGATGGCTGTCCAATTCCATGCTTTGCAGAATCTCGGCATTCAATATCATCAGGCGATATGGCTACGTGCTATAATCACAGAAGATCCCCATTCATGCACACAGCCGAGTACTTTTTGTAAGTCATATAGCTGCATTCCGGTTACAACTAAGGTGTCGTGGGCTGCCATACGCTGGGCTGCCTTGCAATGTAAGACGCACAACTGCAAACCCAAAACCTGACTCCTCACACCCAAAGCCCAGCTCTGGCCACCAACCCCAAACCTTGACCCATTACCCTAACCCCGCTGTTACGATTCGGTACTTGAATCTATACTGAACCTTCATGTGGACGTCCGCCTCTCAGCACCTTGTGGCAGTCTGAGACAAGTGGGCGCGGCTCCTTCTTCTTGCAATACTGCTGAAGAATGACCTGGCAGCGATTCTGGAGGGTGTACGGCTCAGGGCATGGGTTTAGGATTTGTGGCTTAGGGGTCAGGCTAGGTGCTTGGGACGCTTTGGGATAAGGGGCTTAGGGTTTAGGGCGTACAGCTACTGGCAACCGCGTTGTATATGTACACGTGTAACATTCTCTTGAAGAGTCCACGTGTGCTTTTTTCAACTAATACTACCTAGACTGAAACATATTCCCACAAGACACAAGAGCATGGTGCCTTTTCAGTTGATCACATTTTGGGTCGAAAAGTCGCGTTTGGGGGCCACGAGCTTATTTTTGCTCCAATAACATGCATCTGAGTAAGTGAGGGCGGGTTTTACAAATGCTGCGCCAAAGGTGCATCAATGGCTCCCCTAGACGTTACTGCAGCATTCTTGTTCCTCAAACAGTGGATAAACATCAGGGTTGTCTGGCTTTGCGTAGGGGGACTTGATCGCGCTCGGCTTGCATATGAAGCGTCCGCACTGTTTGGCCGGAATTGGGCTTTCGCTGCAGTACCAGTGATCATTTTGGCTCTTTCTTTTTTTTGTAGAAGAGGGGTGGAGGTCCTGGAGCTTTGAGCGTTGGGGCTCTCGCTCCGCGAGCGTGGCTTTAGCAATACACCTTACAAGACTGAAGCCCGTACGCACCAACTCTTGGCACCGAAAAACGCGTGAAGGCCCCTGCCGCACCTCTGGATCCAGCGTGATATGGTGGAAAGGCCGGCGGCCGGAGCTAAGGTAGTACCTCCAAAGCTTACGTCTATGGTTGTGTCATGGGCAGGTCAATACTTCCAACATAGAAGGGGCGGAATGCTTTTGCGAGCCCCCTTTTCCAGAATTTGTGACTATGAATTTGTTAGGCCTAAGGATAACTAAGCCCTAAGCTTTGTGGGATCATGGACCTGTGTGATTTTCCTTCATGTCCAAGCCCAAGGAGGCATTGTTGCTAGATAGCACTTGGGCTACTTGGCAAAGAGCGCTTCACTCCACTGGTCTTAGACTGGCGCAGGGCGACCGAACATCAAAAATGCGTGGCCTTTTTAGAAAGCGATGACATGTAAAAACATCTGCCAGCACACATGGGAATTTCCCACACTACATGGCGTAGAACTTCACATGGGGACCCATCTTGAAGGCAGACAAAGACACACGACACACATTGTATGCGAATGTTGGACTGGCTGAAGGGTTCGGGGCTGCATGCTGGTGCCAAGCGACATGATGAGGCCATAGGAGTAGATGTCCACCTGCAAGGGCTGGGCCCATTCCAAAAGGCGGTTTAGGGGCTTCGGCGCTGCTGCCAAATGGGCTTTATCTTCACTAGGGCCCCCAACATTTGCTTGAGTGTGGTGGCTTCCTCTGGCCTCGGAGCTGTCACCGTAGGTGCACTTGGGAGACAACGATGCCGCGGCGGATTCACAACCCGTGACACTTCTCTATCCTGTCTTCGTCTTCTGCCTGCTAAAGCCGATACTGGGACCTACACACAATGTTTCTGAGATTCACCTAGTCTAAAGGGTACCAGCACTACAGTCACTACAGGTCCTAGAATACTGGGATTCTGACGGTGAGGATCCCTGAATGGAGCCCCCAATTTGAATGCTCCCCTGCCAAGTCCCTTTCAAAAGTTTCAAGTCTCATGTGTGGGCATTGTGGCTTCAGTACTGCTCTTCTGGAAGAGCATGCCACCCTCAAGTAGGCCCTAAACCCCAAACCGCACCCGCCCAGCCTTTTCATTGTACTCCTCATACCTGGGTCAAGCCATGTATGCTTGTGCACACGCTTCATGCATTGGGTCAGTATCTGGGTTCTCAAAATGGGGGTAGCCACCCGGACCTGAGCAATATGTAGTTTGCGAAACCCACGATTTACAAGGCTCCCCGTTATGCATCGATGGGCCGTAGCGATGCCACAACCCTCCGAGAACAACGCATCTTCCCAAAGCCGTCCCATAGTAGCAGAGGCTCCTGGTGGGATGTATATGAATCTGTTTAAGGATTTGGCCGACCCAAAAGTCTGACAGACACTCAGTGCAAAATCCCTGCCACCTATGATGCTCGTATAATCCACACCGATCCGGCCTAACCGCGATGTAGAGAGTTCACCCACATCTGAAGTCAGGGTCCTTCCTGAAATCAAGAACCTACATTCCGAAGTTTTGAAATCCAAAACCCTGGCATAGTCTTCAATCTAGATGCCGTACCACTTCTGGGGCCATGTAAAGGTAGCTTCCCACACCACCGGTCATGGTGTGCGGCTCGCTGGTCTCCCCTGAGGACAGCATCTTGCCTGGGTCACAGTCGGAGGTTTGCCGCAAATAAGCTACCCTAGAAGCATCAAGGCTAGGCCGGCTAGGCGGATTGTGAGGAGTCAAGATCTACCACATCGCCAGATGCTTGGTAGCCGGATGCTGCAGCCAGATTGTAAATGGGTACAAGGCGGCGTCAATGCAACAGCCATTCAAACTGACGTGTGTTTTCGTATATCCGTGCCAGCTTGGGGTGCTCGGAGCGGGCCTTTGCCTTCATTTGGGTGCTGGGTCACATACAGACGATATGGCCCTGCTTTCTCAATAGCAATTCAGCCTCGATGCAAATAGTCATAACAAAACATGGCGTTCTGTAGGCTAGAAAGATTTGTGCGCTTAATCTCGGTAGAAGTTCAGGCGGGCCTCCGAGAGGTAGCCAGGCTTTCTTGGTGCGCTGGCTCAAGGACTTCCTAAAGCATCATGAGATAGGATCCCGCTTTACCGACCCATTTTATCTACCCACCTGACTATCTCTCCGATCTTACACGATCTTTCTTCTTCACTACAATCCGACCTCGCACAAGGACCGGAGTGACTGGAGGCGTTGATGGGAAATCCCTGTACCGACTGAAAAGCTGGGACGGGGCAGCACCTTAGAACTCCTCAGTTCCCTGAAGCGCCCCCCAGGCTTCGGGCTTTAGAGGCCTCGATTGATTCCTCCAACGTGTTTTGGGGGATTGTTATGCATACATACATACATACATACATGCATGCATGCATGCATGCATGCATGCATACATACTATCAGCTAAGTACGTGCGAACAAGGAAACATTCCATATCCTCTGAAATAACACTCTTGAAAACACCTCCTGTGTGGCTGGGCCCAGAAAAGGCACTGATGCCAAAGTCCGTCATCTTCAGATCCAGGTTCTTCGTCAGGAGCAGGTTCAATGGCTTTAGGTCTCGATGCACGATGGGCACCTGGTAGGATTTGGGTTGTGGGTCGAGGGTTTAAGGTGGGTTGAGGGATTTACAGCTTTGGCTCGTAGGTTGAGGGTCGTGAATTCAGGGTTCAGGTTCGTTGTGCATGCAGTTTTGGAGGTTGGGGGTATCAATCACGGCAACAAGAGATGGCGTCACCCTAACTGCGAAAGCGTGACCGTGAGACCTTCAAGTATTGGCTGCTGGGCCACAGTTGTAATTCCCGTAAGCGCTCTGCAGTGTTCAACGTCAGCAGCGCCACCTCTCGACCCTAAACCCTGAACCCTCAACCGAAACCTTGAACGCCGGGCCTGCGCTCCAACTCTGAAACCCTACATCCTAGAGCCTCAGGCATCCGAACCCCCGCACCTTTCCATCTAACCACAATCCTGAGACAGCCCAAATTTGCCCTATAGAGCTCTGTATACCCTACACAGAAAGCCCGGCAAAATCTTGTATATTCCCGAAGCAATAGAAAACCCTACATACTCTAGACCCTGAGCCTGAAACCCTAAAAACCTTGGCCTCCTATGACCGGGGACCACTTCCCATCCCAGGCCGACTTCAGCAAAGCCACAGCGAAGCCATGGAGGAAGGCTAAGGCTCGCCCGATGGCGCAGGACCACTCCACCTGGATAAAGAAAAAAAAAAGGAATTCTGGAGGGGTCACGTTATGCCAATTGCAGGGCGGTGGAAACTCTGTAAGGTTCGAAGTCTGGTGCTTCGGGGGTTTGGGGGCTTTGCTGCTCTTATGGCATTCACGCAAAGGCTTGAAGATGCTTGAAGTGTTTCAGATGTCGGGCTTCGGGTTTGGGATTCTAAGTTAGCGTCGGAGGTTATAGGTTTGGGTTTGCTTTTGCAGTTTGGGGTTTGGCGGCTTTGGGTTGACACTTTAGGGCTCACAGCTTGGCCTTCAGGTGCATGATTTTCGAGGTTTGTAAGAGCTGCGGAGGCGTCATCTGAAATCGGGGATTCGGAGTTTTAGGTCCAGGGACAGCTCCTTAAGGTTCGAAGCTTTGGGCGTTCATCTTTGAGACTGGCGAAGCATTACGCATAGGGATGAACAGGCCCTCACATTCTAGTTTAATGCATTGGAATTTTATATGATTCGGGATGAGGCATAGCTACGGTTTAGGGGTCCAGGATGGGGTATGGGGATTCGATGCGTTCGGTTGAAAACAAAATTGTGGCAGCGGAGTTGAAGGGTTCGCAGTTGAGGTTTATGGTCTCCCTTTATGCTTCATGGAGAAGACGAGCCAGTGCGGGGTTGACGATGCTGCTAAGATTAGGAGTTATTGAGTGAACGAATCTAAAGTGGGCGGGCGCTTAGGCAAAAAAAGACATCAAGTCGGCTGTACAAAAAGGCCGCACTACTACAAAGACGCCACCCTTCTGATGAGGAAGCAGCTCTGGTCTGAAGCGTTGAGGATTCAGCTTCAACCTTTGGGTCTTGGGGCTTACCTTGCGTGCTGAGGACCTGAGCCTTATGGCTCAGGTTTGCGGCTAACAGTTCCGATCTCGAGGTTCACGGTCTAGGGACTTCGATTTGGCAGGGATGAAGGGATGCAGCGGGTGATGATTCAATCAATTTGCAGACAAGCCGATCTGAAGGGATGCCTGGCTTCTCGTTCAGAAGCTGGAAATGGGATGTTCTAGGAACTACAAAAAAAATCGGCTTTCAGTTGTGGCAACGATTCTGGCCAACTCTACAGCAGTTGTTTGCAAGGTCTTGCGGCAATATGCGGAGATCTCCACTGTCTCTGTATCCGAGTGTGAAGGCAACCAATTAACAACAATCCTCAAGGTCTATGATCATGTAGAGCGACTGGCGTCTATCGGCTTTTGCGAGTACAGGACTTTGAAGTTTGAACCACTAGCAAGCTTTTCAAAAAGCCCTGAGATTCCAGCCTAGTCAATGAGAACTAGGGACATTTGCGCATGTACCCATGATGCCATCCTCGGTCACTCAAATCACAGAAATTCCCACAGGCAAGATGTTGTGGTTAACTTGTCTTGGCGCGTACATGCAGGGCAGGGCGGAGATGCAAATCACCGTGCTGTAGGTATCCGAGACCGCAAGATATCTTCTATCAAATACATCTTCTGGCAGGGCTCCCCGATTCTTAGTGCCGGCGCGATCCCCATATACACCTGGCAAAAATCGGTACATGGCTCCTATGCAATCCCGAAAGGCTTGCCATTATTCATTCTCAATTTGGCAGCGTATCTGGGCAGGGACACATGGTTCAGGAAAAAAAAAAAGCAGCATGTCGGTTAGGGACTATTTGGAGTGGTTGAGACGCTCATAACAAAGCCCCTCGCAAAGCCTCAACAACCACACCAAGGGGCCACGCGCCACAAAGGAGGACTCCAGGCCGCAACCTCCCCGAGAGGCTTCTGCATGAGGGGATTTAGGGCGTAGGTTCCAGAAAGCCATTACGAGATAGCTATGCCTTGGACGAATTCAACGTTATATGAAGTCATTTTAACCTCCTGTAAGACTACGCGCAGTGACTAACCGTATCTAACAGTGCAGGCAATTCAGAGCCTTTGGGGAGTCTGGAATACTTGATCTCCAGCTCTTTTCCTCACATGTGCGTTTCTGATCCAGACCCCAGGGCCAGTTTGCAATTCAGACCCCCTGCACTGCGCCTGACCTCTTCATTTGCAAGGCAGTTCAAACCGAATGCATATATGAGGCAGAACCTATTTTCAAATTTCTGGTCTGACCGGAGAGACACCCAACATTAATTGCTTCCCCTAATATTAAACCCCTCATATGAAATGCGGGCTTCGCAGAATTCCAAATTCTGAAAGTATTTTTTTAAAGGGCCAAGACTAAAGTTAATTGCGGCTTGGATCCTCTGAATTAGGGTGGGTCCCTAGCACGACTCTTGAGGAGTAGGGATCTCCTTCATTTCCTGGATTCTGATTGTTTTGCATGGTCTTGAGGAAGGAATTTTCATAAAATCTGAATACGATGTCAACTGGGGTTATTGCGAATTGAAATCTTTTTTGATTAGGTTATAACTAACTTTCAGTTAAAAAATGATTTTAATCAGATTCTACTTAGACTTCAATTAGATTTTAGCTAGGTTCTAAATAGATGTTCATGAGTGTGATTACGTCTTTACATTGATGAAAAATGTGTTTGCAAATCCACGTTTGGAAGGTGTGTCATTTTTTATTTTAATTGAATGTATTACCAGTTTCATTAGATTGAAATGGCTTTTTATTCGATATAATCGGCTTTTTGTTTCAGCTAATCGATTTCTATTCGATTTTACTTAGATATCAATAGGATCCTATCATATACCCCTCAATGTTCCGGTCGCACGATAAATGCCCCCTAATATCAAAAGCGGGTCCGAGTATATTGACAAGTTTGGCCGGTAAACTAAGAGCTAGGAAGGTTGCAACACCCAAGGGCAACGCAACGCTGTCTTCAAGCTAGCCGGTACTTCCGAGATCCTTACAAATTGCGGGGGCCTTTAGAATGGGGATCTTTTGTGTCTTCAGGGTCTAGGTTCATGACTTTGGGGAGGAAGCTATTGGGTTCCGAGTTGAGGGTTGGTTCAATTGGCATCTGTTGACCTTTAACTTTACACCCATAAAACCCACACACTGAACCAAGACTCATGAACCCACCCTGCTCCGGGACCTGCTGCTTCTCTCGCATGTTGTACATGTAGTGTTCCAGGTCACCTGGTATAGGCCGCTCTTTAAGAACTTCTAGGTTTAGGGTCATAAAAACTTTTAGGTTTAGGGTTGATCCAGAGAAGTCTTATATAAAGAGCCTGCTCACGGGGAAGCTCGTGCAATACAACAACGAAGCTATACCCATGATACTTACGTAGCTCACCTGGGTTCAACAAAAATGGCGATTGAAGAGTCTGTCTAGCGGCTAGCGTCCCGATAAGCAACATTTGCATGTGCTCCCGAAGACTAAACTCCAATCTGCGAATCATTATGCGGGATCCTCGTTCTGGTTCCTCCAACGGGGGGGCAACAATGATGCTGGAAGATGCTGGAAGACCCCCCTTCGGGCGTGAGCTGCCTTCCGGGTCAGGGTTTCGGGTTTAGGCCTCAGATGGGTTCAACAACTCAAGGGCCATGTCCAGGGCTCAAAAGCTGAAGGTATAGCATGGGGAGTCTGGCAAAGGGCTTTGAGAGGTTGGGGTCGTTGGTCGTTTTGAGTTTAACTGCTTGGCTTTGAGCAAACTCCTTGTGGCAAAGAGCCCAGCAAGACACGAGGGGATTCTTACTTTTGAGTCCTTTTTTCAAACCCACCAGGAGCATTCCTTTGAAGCAGGCGCTGAGGTCAGGAGCTCATACCAAATGCAGTACGAGCTGGAATATTTCGGACTATGGTTTCAAGACACCCCGACTCACTATGCGACTAGCGCACATAGGCACAGAACAGATCAGATGCTAGTGGCTGCTTTCATTTACAAGTAGAATGTCGAAAAGCCGTCCAACTCTGGCTGAGGAAGCTTGGCAATGCCACAACTGTGTATATATATATATGTACACATATATTTGATGGCCAAACTAGGTATATCGCAATTTCACCGGGCCCGCTACTGGACCAAGACAGCTCGGAAAGGCTGAAAGACATTTCACGTTTGGATGACAGCTCTATGGGGAGGATGTTTAGGCTCTATGGGAAAATTCGGTATCTACCCGATGTTGTCAAGAACTGACCCCCTCAAAGTTATACGCCTCGCCTGTGACAAAAGGATTCCAAAGGGGAGCCAAAACGGGCAGGTCAAATGCTTCGAGGATCAACAGTACCCTTAATCTGGAACACCTGAAAGATTGGCCACAAAATCCTACACCATGTCCCAGCCTAGATGCTAAACTTCTGAACTAGATTCCCGAGCTCTATTTTACAATCGCGTGAAATGCCACTAACGCAAAAGTCGACTTGAGCAGTCCAAATCAGCATCGCAGTGGAAGAAGCCGGCAAGTAGTGTAATCCCCCAAAGATCAAGAGCTGCACAGCTGAGAAGTGCATGGCCTAGATTTACACCACAATATTTCTAATCATACCTGCGGCAGAGCCCGCAGCATACTACCCTTGAGCCTCTGGTTCTCTTTCCTGCTAGAAGTAACCGAAACGGGGCCCTCCGTGGACTACTGACTACTGTGCCTTTAGTTAGAAGAGACGCATTTGATGTTGGTGTGGGGGGATCCTATACAGTATATGTAAGCCATACACCCCTTCACCCTTCTCATCAGTGGGCTCATATGACGTCTACAACGCTCTGTACCATCTGCACGGCTCGATGTCTCGGCACGCGTCACCCTAAACCCTAAAGGCCACGAACCGTGGGTGATGTCGGGAAGAAGGCACCTCCACCCATGAACTCAGAGACGAACCTTGAGTAGCCAGTCGGGATGAAGAGGGATAAGGAGGGGTTACAAAAGCTCAGATTGTAAGAATGCTCCAGCGATGCCTTAGGGAACGTTAGATGTCCAGGGCCCTTTTTAGATGGAGCGTCGTAAGGCACCACAGGCTTCATTAAGGCTCAGAGAAGAGCTGTGCGTCAGTGGAACCTTCAGAGCCCTCTTAGTAAAACGGACCTCGAGCCCGGGCGTTACTCAGAACTGAATTGGAAAACTGTGCTTCCGAACGTGGCGACCTTGGACTTGCAGGTTCACCTTCCTGGCGCCGTATAGCTTAGGGCCTTTCAGCTCTTTAGGACTCAAGGTTTTTATGATTGGAGGTGTTCGGATTTAGGGGTTTAGGACTCAGGGTTGCGTCTCAAAGTCCTGCGATAAATGGACATAACAACTATTTGGTCGCACTCCTTACCGCCATTTGAGGGTCCGTGGTTGGAAATGCCTACCATATGATCAAATGATCTGTGTTTGCCAAGAAGCATAATTGGATAGTTCGGGTCCAGGCACGCACCCAAGAACAGAACCAGATCCTCCAGGATTTCTGGTGGGCTTAGGTCGCGTTCAGGCCCTCTAGGGCTTGGGTTCAGGGAGCTGAGCTAAACAAGGTTCAGGATCTAAGGCTGACAAAGCAGATAAGATTTCCGCAGAACATACAGTGATACTTGAAAGGGCGCTTCTTCCCTATTGAGATCACAAACTCCTCAGTTAGAGCTTTGGAAGGGGTGCCGATTGGCTGTGCGTAATCTAAGAAATGGCTTATTCTGGACCTATAGCATAGAGCATGGCGTCCTAGTAGGCTGCTTCTTCCCTTTAATAGGCATCTAACAAGACCACTCCGATGTTCAAAGTGCGGGGCAGGATCATGGTCATGCATTCCTACACCCTACACTTTAAACCCCGAAACATAAGCTTTAAAGCCTAAAGCTTACAGCCGTAAACCCTAACACCCTACAAGATCCTGTAAGTATATGTAACCCTGAGAAACCCCATTCCGTAAATCGCAAATCCTAGCATCGCCAGCACCAAGTGGAGTCAGTCCCCAAACCCCCAGAATAGGGACTGCAATGCGGACCCGGTCCCCTCTACCCCCACAGAAGGACGATAAGAACCCGTTTTAAACGGCATCAAAGGGTTTCAGGCAGTCAAGAGTACATAACCGAAACGAAATTGTCGTTGGTACAGTATTACAAGTTGCGGTTTAAGGTTTAGAGTGTGCGGGCTACGGCCGGCGCCGGGCACTAAACTTCACTGAAAGTCACAAACCCGTAGCCGCAGACCTTGTGACTGCTGAGCCCCAAAGCTCGCAAACTCCAAAAGCTCAACCGACAAGCCTCGGACGCTCTGGGTGTGAGTGCGTGCGTTTTCCTAAACCCGTGATACCCTGCCCTCGAGCCCCACCCCTCCCAAACCCTTAAATGCTGGTTTCAAATACTTGTCCGGATGGCGCAGCGAAGCCAGAAGATGAATCTCATGCAGGAGCTCCTGGGCGAGTTCATCTGCGTGGTGTGCAATCATCGGGAAATGGAGGAGTGGATCCTGGCACTAGCCCTTATGGAGAGGTTAAAGGTTTAGGATGTAGGGAATGGCAAAAATCCAAACAGTGCTTTCCGGCTTTCCCGCCAAGTACCAGGTAATCAGCAGTCATAAATTCAGGACCCACCTACCAAGCCCCCCCACCCAAAAAAGGGCCCAGGCCAACGTTCTCCGCAGCTGGGTTTAGTGTGTCGTGTTTCGTGCTTGAAGTTTGTGAGCTATTCTCCTTGAACAAGCCCGGGAAAATTCAGGTGAATCTTTGGAGCGATCCTGGATGGCTTTTACAGCGTATCTTTTGGGATATCTTGAAAATCTCCATCCTGATTTATGCAGATGCAGGAGGGCAGGGTGGGAAAGCCGTGAAGCAATACCGACGTGTGTAGAAATCAGATTACGATCTGGACACAGGATTTACAATCGCCGGTGGGCTTGTGAATGCTGAGACGAAGCGCTTACCATTCTCCAATGCAATTCCCTTTTGGGGATCGCCCCGGACCCCCAGGGTCTAGGCCCAGGCTTCCTCAGTTACGTGCATTTAGGAGACTGTAAGAAGAGTTCTACCAAACCTGAAGTCCAAACCTGCGCAACCTCTAGCCTCCTGTCAGAGCCCAAAGAATTCGAACGGGGATGTGGGGTGTGATATTCTATTTTAAGCATGTCAGGTTAGCAGGGGACAAGAACACGCACTTTTACGGCTTCTGCAGTACCTCCATAAAGCTACACATCCATAAATGGGGTCCCTAGTGATACCCCTTAAGAAGCCCTACCCACATCCACCTTCTTGAGCTCACACATCTCTTGCGGAAAAGGTGCTGCAGTGATTCCCGCCTCAATGTCCTCAGACAAGGGCGTTTGTCCATGTGGGGCAGAGGACTGTTGGAGGTTCCAGGTACGTGGGGGCTTGGGCTCATGGATTGCTGAGGATTAAGTATGGGCTGTAATGTTTGGGACGTAGGCTTTAGGGTTTGAGATCTCGAGTTTACGGATGACGTTGGCTTTAGACCCTTGGGCTTCATTCAAGGTTCAAAGTTTCGGGGCAAAACGCTCCAAAGAAACTCAAGGCTACGTGTAATCTCTTACAGGAAACAGAACTCTCGGACATCCCCATCCTTTCCCGAAATCACCCACATGCGGTTTAAATTTTAGGGTTTGGGATGGGTTCCTGGGTTCCCACTTTGGATCATTCGTGTTTAGACAGGGAATGTGGAAATGGGCGCAAGGGATTATATTACTGACATTCAGAGAATATAATAGGGATCCATACTGAACAAGCACCTGCGAAAGAATCCTTACGAGATTATGGGCAAACGCAATGAAATTCGCTGAGTGAAAAACATCCAACAACCACATACCCTGAACCTTCCACGAGAATCTGCAATCCTCAGTCAGCAGCCCCAAACCCTTAATCCTCAACTCGTAAACCTGACGCCTGACGAAAAGGTTTACAATCAACAGTGACACGTACAAATCCATGAATAGCGCTTTATGAGCCCTTCACCCTGTCTATCCCACCAACCGCCCGATATCCCCATGGAATCCTTTTGGCATGCATGCAATGGTCTTATCGGAACCCTAAGCTGCTAATGCAACTCCTAACAATTCCGCAACTTCCCCCCCAGTCCCGCCCGCATCCACATCTTGGAAAGAACGGAGAAGGAACGACCCTACATGCCGATGCCCCAACTTTTCGAGCTTTTGGCATTCTCATTTTGGAGGGCACGAAGCAAAAACAAACCCAAACGCTCACGCCCCGAGCTCCTCGAGCTGCTGGCATCCCCTCGCGCAAACCACGCGAACCACCCGAAATGCGGATGCCCGAGCTGCGGGCATTCTCGTTAGACACTATAGAAAATCCAGAAAAATTCATATCACGGCCCGACAGCAAGACGAAGGGCCAATTATTTTTCATCGTAGCTTGGAGGCTATGCGAAAAGTCGTTGCCAGGGCCGACTATGTTGAAAAATGATCCTCCACGCCAGCTCTCCTGCTTCCAACACAAACACAGCGAAAATGGTTTATGAGATGGGGCCTTCCGACCCCCGCCAAAAAACAAAGTAAACGGCAGCTCTGGAAAGAGCACCGTTTTGACGTTTTGAACGTTTTTGTATCAAAGCCACGCTCAAGTCCATGCAGAACAGGAGCAGGTGACACAAAAATGCAGGGTAAAAGTGATACAAACAAGCCACAAATGACGGCTAACAAACGGAAACGAAGACTGGCATGTGCGGCAAGTCAGTAATTCAGGTGGCGGATCAAAAAATGATAAGGGAGCAAAAAAAATCAAGATCAGGACCAAAACTGATGACGAGTCAACAAGAAATTTGCTTCTTAGACAGAATATAAACTGCAAGTTGCAGCCTCTTGGGCCGCGTAGAAGCTGCAGATACTGTAGATTGCAGCGTTTTAGATCGTGTAGAAACTGCAAATACTGCAAGTTGCAGCATTTTGGCTCGCGTAGAGGCTTCACATGGTATAGAGGTAGCAAACAATGTAATTTACAAGAAATTACAGCATTTGGCAACATCAGAGCTGGCAGACATTGTAAATAACAGCATTTTGAGCATCTCGAGCTTGCGGAAAGAAAGCCAAATCTCAACGGGCACCTTCGATGTGTGAGTCACTTGTATCTTATGTCTTCGCCTTTTTTGTGTGCCATTGCATGCGCAACCATTGAAAATCATGCAATTTGCCTTCAAATGGCCGTTCACTTGTGCCTTTAATCCAATTTCCCAAATGCCCTAGCCCCTTGTGCCTTTACCCACACCGACGCGATGCCGCTTCATCACTGGACGGCATTCAGTTTATTAATCCCACGCCCTCTTTCTGTGATGAACAGGACCCAACCCGTCGGCATCAAGCTAGGAAACCTGAAAACAATCTTGGCAAAAGCGCCTCGTCGCCGGCCTTCTTCGGGGAAACACCTTCAAGCTTCCCAGCTACTGCTCAGGGCTCGAGGATTTGGAATTTATGATTGAGGCGTTCGGGGGTTGGGGCTTGCAGCTCACAGTCTAGCGCGTGAAGGTGTTTTGCTTGCGGTCTGGAGTTTGCAGGTCCCTACAAGAAGGGCTGCACCATTTTGGAGGGCTTGGATGAAACCAAATTCAGAGTTGTCTCAATTTGAAGGAATTCATGTCTCAATTTGAAGGAATTCATCTCTCTCGCAATAGATAGCATTCGTTACAACAACATCGAAAATACAAGGACACCAGATCATAGAAAGCCCTAACTACCACTTTTATGGATCTATTCCGAGCATAACCCTACGATGAAGCATGCAGTGACTTCTGGAAATCCTTGGCGCCTTCCACACCACCGCCGAGGACCATGCTATGGGACTTACGAAGGTTCTTGACCTGCGCTGGATCATACGGAGGCTCGAAGCAAAAAGGTGCGGGGTTGAGGGCTTAGGATTTCACGTGTGTTGTCCGGAGGTCACATTTCTGCAGCTGTGTTGCTACAATGCATAGCGAAGTATTCTCGCATCGAGGGAGGGCAGCGCCAGCGACAACCCTTAATCGACCGCAACTAGGCCCGTCACATCAATAGTCGCGTGTCAAAAGCATCAACATGAGTATTCAGATGGTCGTGCCCTCGCATCTTCATCGCGTCTCAAACATGTCAACATTCACGAAAACCCTGCCAGACGAGGGTCTTGGTGCGCGTAAATGGTCTTGTTTTCAGGCCCAGCATGCCAAAATTTAGAAATTCAGACAGTATTAGGTTTTGCATTTCAAGAAGTACGGGGCTGGATGTATGCTTTTTTGGGGCCAGGTTGGGGCTCAAGCTAGAGGTGTTTCCAGGTTCTGCGTGCAGCTTTATTGTTCAGGTCTGAAGTCTTTGCATTGGGGGTGTACTGAGCCACGCTACCATTCGTAGAGTTCCAGTGTCAATGTTCAAGCCCCAACAATACGTCAACCCTCAAGTTGCGGACGCCCAAATACTTCTGCCGGCTTGACACACAAGACGATTAAAGGGCAAACATCTCAAGGAAAACGGATGCTTGGAGGAAGTCTTTTTCTGACTGGCCTTTGGACACATTTCCCAAAACTGAGTTCCCCAAACATACCTCCTCAAATTGCATGATGTTGATAAGCCCGCAGTTCAGGCTTGTTAACACTTTGTCCATCTTCATCCGTTTATAAGCTTGAAAGCTCGCAGTGCCAAGCCTTGCTCTGTTAACGGTTCCGGGCATAGGCAAAACTGACACGGTACGAGCAAGATGGAAATTTCTCGGATCAGCTGGCTCTCGGATGCTTAAGACAAGACCATCCAGATGATTCAAACCTTCCAAAATAAGAACAAGTACAAGAACCCAAAACTTTCAGACTTCAAGAAAGTTTAGCCGTCTGAACCTAGATCACAGATGTTGTCAGGTGTCTGAGCTCCAGACCTTGATCATCTAGCAAATGCTGTCTTGACAGTGCTTGGAAAGTCATGAAAACCCTGAACGACAAAACTGCCCACGCGCACGAAGTCCAATCATAGCCCTCCTCAAACCCTTAGACCACCAGCGTTTCACAGTAGCATCAGAGACGAGAAGCCATGTTTGACTGGTGCATCTTGGCACACTTGACCACAACGACGGTGCCCTTCCAGTTCGCCAAGTGCACTGCACCTTGAGGTTTCAATGTTAGAGCGTATAGCGTCCTAGCGCTTAGCGCATAGGGGGGATTCTGCTGATGGTTTGTCTTTTGTGCCTTTGAGGGTTTTCAATTGAGGGCTTCACGCTTGGTTATGAGCCAATGAGTTTCCCGGTCCTCCCAAGGGTGATCTAGAATCTAGAAGAATGCCCGACTTAGGGCTTCAGGTGAAGCCGAGTCTAAGCCCTGAACATGGCACACTATCAGCCGAGATGCTCTTCAGAGTTTTGCCAATTTGCTTCCTGAAGCAGATGCGTCCAGAAAGATCACGGCTTCATTTGGGTTTACGAGGACAGCGTGCGACTGCTAGTTGGCGTCGTTTGAGGATGTTCGGGCCCAAGACTTCAGGACGTATGTGTCTTCCGGTAAGATCATGAAGTTACGTTGCAGTGGGCATGGGAAAAGTGTAGATGCTTCAGGTGCTAGGATTGAGGCTCTGGGGCAGTTTTGGGACACTTTCAACTCTCCAACGCTCACGGCTTAACATGGCGCACATGGGCAGGAAACAGACGAAACACCGTCAGACAAGACCTGCAAGTCCTTCGAGTCGTGGTCCCGTCTCGCAAGCATTTCTTGGGACCCAATAGTAACCCTTCATATGCAGTTCCTTACCACATCCGCCGCATTTTGACAACCGGGGCATGAAGGGAGACTAGGCTTTCTGGAGAATCTTCCCTGTTGAGGCCTCTGGGGTCTTACCTAACCGATGGCCATGCACCACAACTCCTCAGGTTCCGGGTTTAGGCAACACTCAACCTGTAACCACCGATCATGCAAAGTCTCGATGGCCCAACCGCCTATTCTCCCTGGAAGCCGCCTACAATCGTGCATAGTTCTCATCTGCTTACCTTGCTCGTCTGACGCGCTCGATGATGCCGTCAAGCTGAACGAGGCCGTGCCAAAAACTACTACTTTGTGTGCTGAAGTAATCATATCATGACTAGCCGAGCCCTACAGGGTGCCAGATCCTTTTCAACGTCATACAGATGCATACTGACAAAATATGCGGGCTAATGTTTGGTGATCTAGTAGGTTACTCGCTCTCTGGACTCAAGACACAAAGCCCTGCACTTTCAGCCCTGCAGCTAAGCCCTAATATCTGCGTTGAAGACAAGCGGCTTAAGGGTGATGTCTTCCGGCTGAAGGAGCCAGAAGCCTCACTTTGAGGGTCTTGGTTTTGTGTCGCGCGATGCAGATTAGACTTGGAGTTGGGAAACTACAAGTCGAGGGGCTTGGGCTTTGGAGGGCTTAGGGGAAAGATTGGGCAAAAAAATGATCTTGTAGATATCGGATTCTGCAATGTTCGTTGCGGAGCCCGGTAATGAAGGGGCTCATGTCAATGCGGCTTGGAGATTAGAGGGATTCAAGGTGAGGACTTGCTCTTGACGGCGTGCAGTAGTAAGCACAGCCGTTACTTTTGTTGAAGCCGTAATTAGCCGCCGGAAGCAGAAAAGGGTTGGTGTCCAACTTGTGGCATCAGCGATGGTCATTCGCAACACTTGGGGTGCCCTTGCCCTCACTTATAAGGGAACACACAGCGGCCCACGATCTTGAGAATCCCTCTAGACTCAAGGACCCCAAAACGAACTAGCATATTTTGAGAAACCCAAGACAAGACTGTCACCTGTCCCTCTTCCGCCCCCGCTCCTCTTCCTCGTACTGGTGTGGGAATGGGCCAAGAGCGGCTTCAAAAAAAGACGTTGTCATAAAGTGTCTCGTCACATGTTATCGTTTGTCCTCCTGGTCCTCGGCTTCCTTCATGTGGTCTTATTGTCTGTGCAGCGCTGGCCACTGTAGCGGCAGCGGAAACATGAATGGCAGTCCAGTACTGCAGTAAGGGTAGCGTTAGAAGAGGCAATAGTGTGCAGAGTCAAAGCCAAAGCTCTTCGGTGTCAGGTTGTACGTCAGACTGCAGCAGCACTCAGGCTTTATGCAGGGTACCAATTATGATAGTCCCCCATGCCCTCCGTTGATGGAATTTGGGTTAGGCAACTCAGTAGTGTATCCTCCCATGTCGAGCCTGTAATGGTAAACCAAACAGCAGCACTCCATAAGTCTAAGAAGTTCTTGAATGATTTAGCTGTCGCCTTTCTGAAACGAAAGCGGGAACTACCACGGTACAGGGCAGCTAGCTCCGATAGCCAAATACTGTCTTTATTCTCCGCGCGAGCCCCCAATCCCATGAGATGTAGAGGCCTCCCTACACGCCAAACGACCCTGGAGGTCAGGTGGCTCTCGCGGGCTCGCGATTCCAATTCTTCTCGCTGAAGCTTGGCACCGTGCTCCTGCAAGCGGCTGCGGCCAGGCGGGGGTGTTCTTGAGATGGGATGCACGAACCAGGGATGTATTGGGATCACCTGGAACTTCTGCAGGTTCCTACCAAGGATGCTATGAAGGTAGTTTTGATCAAGTCCCATGTCTGTTGATGCGCTTGTAATGGGACAACTGACATCTGCTGCAAACTCTGAGAATTTGTGCTGAGGTGGGCTTTACCATTCTAGAGCCTTCGGGTGAGCCCTCCACCCTACCCCGCAAGGCATCCCTGTTAGAGACAAGGTTTTCCTGAGCCGGCAATCTATCAAAAGTGATATCGTGCCGCAAACCGTTGAAACACAAGGACCCGTGTGCGCTGAGATCAAGAAAACCATGCCGTCTTTCAAGCTGCCTCTATAAGAATTTATTTCCGGACGGGTCCGCGTCACAAAGCATGCAACTCAGGGGCCAGACGGCCAGACTGTAATAGACTCTAATCCGAAAACCAATACCCTTAAAGACTACCCTCGAACCCTTAACCTTCAAAGAGCCCCATGACATGCCCATGACAAAAGGCTCCTGCAAGAGGGCCTTCACGGCGAAATTTCCAGCTCGGCTGGAGATATCCTGAAACATATCAGGCAAGTACAGGCTGCGATAAGAATTTGGAAGTGAGTTCTCACATGCCACGACTGCAGCATGTTCCCATTGCCCTTCGTAATCTTCCAAATATACAAAGTAAGGTTTGGTGCATTTTGCTTGGATTCTTGCCACCGGGCTGCGTTGCTTTAGGGCTTCGACGTTTCAACACTGAACCTTTACACCTTGTAGGTACGTCCCCAAGCACTCTAAGTTGCATCTTGATGGGTATGTTCAGTAACCCATCCCGTGATGAGCTGAAATACTATCTTGCAGTAGTCTCTTCACGCAACAACTAAATTGCCAAATCAATAACTTCCACAGCTCCACTTCGGTACTAAATCAAGTATCTTTCTTATGAGCGGGGAGGGAGCTACGAACAGGACAACCCGACAGCCGCTCACCACGGAAGCAAGCCCTGGGCTCTTAAGACATCGTAGAATCCTTAAACCACAAACCCTGACCATACACCCCGAATCCTCCGGAGGCCTGAACTGCAAACCCAACAGCCCCGAACCCCTACTCCTAGACTTTAAATACTTTGAAGCCTAAACGAAACATCAGGGGTTTCGGGAATAGTGCTCATGGCTTTAGAGTGCAGGGATTAGAAATTGTGGCTTTGGTCCAGGGGCTCTGTATTTGGAGTTTCACGGCTTGGGGTTCGAGGTTTAAGGATTTTAGAATTGAGCCTTGGGGGGTCTTGAGTCACGAAGGGTCTGCAAAACGTGGGTCCTATTCGGGCCTCCCTTCTGCTCAGGCCATTCACATTGCAGATCCAGATCCTAAGAATGTCCTCAAGGTACTAACTTCGATAGCCCCTTCCTGCTTCCCAATGCGTCAAATAATGACAGAGGCACTCTTTCAGACCTGACCTCCCGCAAATTCACTCGAAAAGGCCCTAAGAAGGACCCTAACCCTTAACCCGAAACGAAAGGCTGCCGCCAAGCATCCAATGGGGTCTGCCCAAGATTGTCCGTGGCATTGGCCTCATTTTGCTGCATCCCAAACTTCCATCTCTACCAAAGCCTGAACCCACATGATTCCGCATGATGCATTTGTTGTACCAAGGCACCCAATAAGTGCTCCTGACTCTGACGCGGTGTTTAGGACCCGGGATGGTCCATCGACCTTCTGATTCTTCTCAGACTTGCGAGATATGTTTACCAAACCTGGACGGTTGACTTGAATGCGTTTCAGAATACAGCCTGGTGATCCCTTGCACCTCTCTCATACTCTTTATGGGTCGACATCCTTGCGTCGACTCCTCCTGAAGAACTAGTAAGTTGACCCAGATCTCTCGGACCTTGCGTTTAGGCGCAGATCCGAAATCCCAAGCCCTGAACCACACGTACATTACATCCATCATGATCCCTTTTCAGGCCAGGGAAGTTGGCAGATGTAGTTGGGGCTTCCAGCGAGGGGCATTGGTCCCATGCTCCAGGAGAACGCGAACAACCTCGTTGGCCCCAGCCGTGTTGATGCTGCATGCCTGGGCGAAGTTTGGGCAGAGCACTTGGGAATGTAAAAAGCTGATCGTATGGGACCTGATGTGTCAGGCAGACGGGTTGCTGGCTTAGAGGGTGTAGAGGTCGGAGACTGGGAATTCACAATGTCTGCGCGCTTACAATTTCGAGTCTGAAGCCTCCTCTGAATGTATGACTACATCTTTCTTGTATCCTTGTAACACTCACCTAGGGAGTCACCCAATGAACGCCTCAGACCCACAGGCCATTCGAAACACCAAAACGCTAAACCGTGTGAGTTCTCAACATCACAAAAAGCAAGCGCTCGAGGCTAGCTGAGGAAAGCGACCAAAACTTAACTAGGTAGGAATCTTGCGAAACACTGGCCACTAGTGACTAGTGTAATCTGGAACAATAGCTATGAGCGACCATCTCGTAGGCGTCACCTGCTCGTAACCTGAATGTTTTCAGACCGAGCAGTTCCTTTAAGACAGAAAACTGCACAAAAGGCAATTGCAGGATGCATATTGAACCTTGAAAAACAAAGAGGCCGAGTGGCTATGTGGAGCGGGGTCTTCCCAGCGTAGTCGCCAGCGTTGGGGTCAAGATTTTGGCTGAGCAATGTCTTCACCTTTCAAGGACTGAAAAGTTGCCAAAAAAGGAATACAATGCCGCAGCTGATGCATAGCAATTCAAAAAAACTAGCTGGATAGCATTGGTAGTGCCCAGATTGGCTAAAGATCTATACGGATCTGGTTGGACATGGGTGCAGGCCCTTGGCGCTAGGTGTAGTTGAAATCTCCTGGCCTCAGGAAAAAGGGATCTTCGTTCAACCTTCTCAAGGCAATGAAGGGTACATTGGCCAAACAGAGGTGCCGTCTTTGACCTTCAATGTTCTGCTTTCAAAGTCTAGGTTGAAGAGCATGATAGGCATAGGCGGCATAGGGACTGCCATTTTGCAACTAGGCTTTGGGAGTCTGAGGTACTTGCACTTTGGCTTTGGCAGCTGATGTAACATCATCGACTGTTGGATGGTCTGTGGCTTCTTCACCGAGTTTTATGGACCAAAAGAACTGGAAAAGCACGTCGGTTGACTTTGAAAATGAATGCAGATGATATCATCAGAACAGTTGCACTTGTTGAAGTTCACTCAAAACTTATGCATTTACGGAACTACATGGTGCTCAAAGCTTCAATGAAGCTAGGGTGTAGGGTTTATATTTTATGGGGAATCACCATATGAAGCCTACACCCTAAAACATATCCAAGCCATTTGGGCATCCATAGTGGGCTGTCTTAAGTACTTAGAATATTGGAGAGTCATGAAATGGAATCTAGATATCCATAAGCCCAGACCTTGAGACAGTCGCCAGCAGCCGCAGCATAGCAAAGCATCATCGTGGCCTGAAGCATTCAAGTTCAGGGTTCAGATTGTCAGGCTTTAGAGTCTGCGGTTACAAGTTGAAGGTTTAGGGCGAAGCGCGTCAGATTTCGGAAAGCTTTAGGCTCAGGGTGAAGCGCAAACGCCTCTCTGCATTGACTATCCCAGTCATGGAGGTATTTATGGTAAAGCCTGGACTCAAGCAGACAAACTCTCGGGGGCGTAACAAAGTATGGGCTTCCTTGGTGGCCTCCATCTACATGCACTTGACGATAAGTCAAGAAGAAGTTTAGAGCGCACCGCAAGGTTGAAGTTGAAGGTGCCGCATGTGGGTTCGGAGCCATGCCCAAATACCCTTGACCCTACAACGAACGTCAGGACAGAGGAGCTATGCTTGAAACAATGAGGCTGGGTAAATTTCCATTATACAAAGCCTAGATTGAACCCAAGTTGGGGCTCATGTCCTTTCTAAAACCACATTTTGGGGTGAGATAGGGTGAGGCCGCTATAACTTGCGCAGTAGGAAAGGAACCTCACGGAGCCACAGGCCTAATTCAGCCTTTGATCTTGAATTGAGATCCTAGAACCCGTGTAACCTCTTGGGGAGCCTTAGCTTTGGAGTTCAAAGTTGAAAGCTGCAGGCTGTCGTTTGTGTTTAGGGTCTAGGCGGATGCTTGAAGCTGAAGGTATGCGAGTTGAACGAATAAATATGGTGCTCAGACAGCCCAAGCCCCATGATGCACTGAAGAGTAACCTCGGCCCAGTCAGTCTGCGAGGTCTGATGATTGTCAAGCAAAGCTTGTCTTCTGTTGCAGGGCACCAAAGGTTTGGATCAAATACATTACCCATCCCGGGATCATTAGCCATACAACGTTCAACATCTCACGTTACATATGGCGGGGAGCGGGGTTGCGGGCTTTGAATTGAACAACGGTGAAAATAATGCCAGACGTTACGGCAGGCAATCTGAACAGCCACACAACATTCTTACTTTAGCCGACCTGCTAAGCCCTTAACCCTCCCTTGATCATTCCATCATGAACGCGTGCGAAAGCTTTGATGCTGAAAGCTGCATATTCATATTCTTGGCTCAACCTTTGAGCCCAATCCCTAAACCATGCATCCTTAGCCCACAACCCCAAATCCATCAAAAATAAAGCACCACACCCCCAAAATATTAATAAAACAATGTTCATTATAAGGGGGTAGGCGTGCTTCATTTTTGATGAGGAGATTACAGGGAATACTTCCACCGCCTGCTCTGTGGGCGTCAGATCTTTGACGGCAGTCCTCAGCCCAGGTGCAGCTCAACCATCAGAACACCAATGAGCATCACAAAGATATCTTCAAAAGACTGCATATGTTCATAGCTGGCTAAAGTAAGAACTGGACACAACAAAAGAAACCGAGGTAGGAGTTTTGCAACACTAGTGGGCCCATTTTGGCGTATTGGTATATCCGCGCTCTCCACACTTCTACATACTGCGGGCCCTTGTTTAGCTGCGTTGGACACAACCAAACTCACATACTTGCTGGTTGATGAATTGGGCTCTTGCCCATAGCCCCAATGCACCACTCTAGAGGGAACCTATCCTCTGCCCATCCCCCCCACAACCCCCCCCCCCTCGCCCCCCACAGTTCATCCCCAAGTGGAGGCGTGGAAACTTCGTACGACAACAAAAACGGGACCGTAGTCTTGAGCCGCACCGTGATTCCGAGCGTCCCCGCCCTTAGCGGAACTGTGCCCCCACGCAGCAGCGTGGGTAGCGGCTCCTTTGCCGACTCCTGTCTGGCAGGCAAAGGTCAGGAATCACAGTTGCAGGGTCCCGGCACACAAACCTTCAGCACGTACAAGATCTTGTAGTTCCACGAAGAATGAAGCTCAAAATGCACATCCCATGAGCAACCTCCAAATACACGCCACCGGAGGATTCTCCTAAAAAGACCATGAGACTCCCACATCAAGAAGCGAAGTCAGCCGTGACCCAAAACCCAAGGCCCCGTACCCTAAAGCCTAAACACCATCATCCTGGAGGATTTGCGAAGCCGACTTCATCCAGGTCATGGCAAGAGATGACCTCAGATCATGTTGACCTCTTACTCCCATCTGCCTCAGAATGAAACCCGTAAATCGCTGTGTAGAACTGGGTGGAATGCCTGTTTTAGAGATGGGCTGTGTCATTCTTCCGTTTGTTTTGGGGGGAGGGGTGGGGGTGGTCCCCAGCATGCTAAATATGAAGTCGGTGGGGCATCCTCATGTGGACATTTCATGCCCCACTGTAGATATGGTACTTGCAGTTGAGTTGTATGTGACAACGAAAGAGAGAAGGCGCTCTGCAGCAAGGAGAAGCCTTGAATTCCCACGCTATTTTGTAAAGTTTGCAGTAGCTAGGCACGTCCAGTTAGTGTGTGTCTCACAGTTGATTCGGTGCAAGCAGCACAGCGGGCTTCAAAATTGATGGGTCGCTTGTCGGAGTTTCTGACGAAAATGCCTATGCCGTTTGGGGGGAATAAAGTGGACCAGCAAAACGCTCATCTTGAGAAACATCAACTGAACCTCATCTTGCAAGCAACTCTGAAACCTCCGCAGCTTGCTGCGCTACAGGAAGTATGTCATGAAGGGGCTGGTGCACTCGAAGCAAGTGCAATTACAGCACAGGCAATCCTGTCATGAACGCGCTCGCCAAGTAATTAACCAGCACATCACTTCCATCCCTAGCTCTGATCTTGAACGCATCACTATCCCCAAATCCAAATCCCTTAGGTAACCCTAACTACACACAGGACCCTACTCCCCGAAGTCAGCACCCTAAAACTATATCGTCCTAGATTGAAGAAAGGCTTGGGTCAAAGTATTTCATCGGCCAAGGAGCGCTGAAACCGCGGAACAAAAGCGGGAAAGCCGTCACTGCTTCGCACCTACCTGAAACCTAAAATGCCCTTCAGTTCAACGAAGCAAATGAGTCCAAGGCAGAGGGGTTCAGGTCTATGGTTCAGGGGTTAAGAGCTCTATATAGTTCGTCCGTCAGGGTTTCTGAGTGAAAGGGGTTGGCATGAATACAAGGGTAGGATTATTCTGCTTGCAAGGTCAGGTTCTGAAATCATGAGACAACACGATCTGCGGCTTCTTCAAAACAAAGCCTACCACAATTCCGAGTCTGTTGCAGTGTGCAAGGCTGCACCTGCCTCCTACTTGAATCGACAACATGAACTTTCAACGAACTCACTGAGCAACCTGTGCAAGGCCCTTCAATGACACTGGCAGAAGGATGGCCAAAGGATGGGCCAAGCCCTTTCAACCTAAACTTAAATACAATGCCCCAATTGTCCTAGCTAGTCTGCAATGATGTGAGGAGTGCAGGCACTGCAGGCCGTCGAAGTAGGTCTTTTCAAACAGATCTCTACGTCGCCCAGTGAGCATTCTATAAGGATCAATGGTATCATGAGCTAGTTTGGAAAATCTTCCCCAGGAACCTTTGAGATGCGACCACCCTTATCCTTCGAGGACATTCATGAGGCACCAGACACACGGGAAAAATCATTTGGGTTTGTGGCCCGGAGGTGAAGCCACAATCTCAGCTTCCAGCGCCGTGCGCCGTTTCCCTAAGTTGTTGTCGCCAGTGACCTGGCATGTGCGACAGGAGAAATTCTTTGTGGCTAAGACATTCAGCGGTGATGCTGGTCACCACGGTGTTGATGGTGGTGGCGGCGGTGGCGGCGGTGTTTGTACCGGGGCTGAGGCGGCGGCAGCGGCGGGCTCGCCGTCGCCGTCGCCGCCGTGGTTGTCGTCGTCTTCGTAGCAGTAGCAGTAGCAGTAGCAGTAGCAGTAGCAAAAGAAGAATCGGTAGCAGGAGGAGGCATAACAGTAGGAGTAGCTGCAATTGCTTTCAGGGCATGACCTGGTGTTCTCTTGCATGCTAGATGAAAAGAACCTTTCACGGGAAGATAAATGAGAAGAAGGGTTGTAGCGGCACTCGACTCGGGAATTCCATCATGATGACCATGTGCAGCAGAAGATGTAAGAGACATAGCAGTGAGCCAGAGTAAACAACAAAGCAGTCGCCACAAGCAGAATCATTTCAATCACAAAAATAATGTTGCTAGAGGGACAGCAACCTTGGTTTTGATCATAATCTACTTACTTAAAAAAGGCAGTCATCCCTCCTCAGGCCTCTACATACGCGAAGCTTATATAGCCGACGTGACCCTGTCAAATCACCCTAGAGCGAGATAATTTGCTTTAGCTGTCAATGCCCATGTGGCTGAGGGGTGGCCGCTCTCTAAATTACCATAAGTTCACCTAGTTGAACGTAGTACAGTGCCTGCCTACTGACGCTCAGCTGTTGTCTGCGAACAGGAAAGACAAAAACTTATCTGGCTGGAGGTTCAGGGTCTCAGGTTCAGAGCATACACTGCAAAGTCTTCCATAAACTGTCAAATTCCAGCCAATCCCTGACTCCTGCACATGACATCCCCCAACCCCTTGCTGATTTTCTCCCCGGATGAACAATTGCAATTGATTACTATGCTGGAAATTTTCTGTAAGAGATCTGTCTCCATACTTTGCAAGGACAGGAGCAGTAATGGAATGGCATACTGTGCCCCCTCGCTACCCCACCTCAGATAGACCTCCAGCAAGGCTCAAGCAAGAGCCGTTTGGCGCGCACTGAGGTTTTATTACAGTGGGATAGCAGGGTAGCAACATGACAGCTGGCACCACATGCACAGCAAGCTTGCCAATCATAGTAAGTCATAGAAACAAAACATTGCTCTCTGCACACAGAACCGTCGACCTGCGCCCCACACGTGACTTTTTGTTTCTTCAAGCTGGATCCATCACTCGAGCGACTTGCAATCAAAGCAGCTTGTAAATGCTAATTCAATGTTTTGGTGCAGAATCCCTCCGGGATCTCCATTCAAGGAGTTTAGAAAATGTAAAGAGGTAACATGTTGCACGCGCTGCAGCTAAGCGCTGTTCTGCGCGCATTCGGCTGCAAATGCCTGCAGGCTTGAATAATTCGCAATGCCAAGTTCGACGACAGGACGCCGTTCCTTCAGCAGCGCCAACGCAGATCTCAAATCCATGCCGTGGTTTGCCATCCTAAGTTCATCAAGGAAAGGCCCCAGCAGGTGACATCAGTCTTACCAACCTTAGCCCTGAAGATTCGTGCAGTCATCATCATTTCCTCTTCTTCGTATTCGTCATCGCATAGAAGCGTTCTATTGGCATAATGACGGACAAGCCAAGTTGAAGGATGACAGGAAACCGGAAGTTGAATAAAAGCAACATTTTCCAGTGAACACAGCCTGGCAGCAGGCATGCTGCCGCCATACCTTGACTGTTCTGAGCATCTTGCTCCTTCTGATCACAAAGGGGCAAAGCATTTCATCTACCAACATTTGCCCAAATTAGGGTGATATGCAACACTATGCACGCTACTACAGGAACAGATATGAGCTACAGTCAATCCTTTCTTCACAATTTAATAGACATCAGTTATTTATTAGGGACTATATTAGGGACTACAAGAGGGACCCATATGTCCACTGTTAAGGGTCCCTTAATGAGGGCAATATTGACAGTGGCTCATATGATATATGTATTTCATGGACCCCGTATGTAAGCATACTTCCTTAAACATGTTTCGTAAATCCCGTGATCTTCATCTATATAAAGAGCAGGCAGATCACAGGCAGCTCGGCCGCGACCGCCCTTGCAATGGATGTACCTTGCATCTGACACGGTGTGCGGTTGGGGTTGCAGGTTCTGTGGTCACCTGTCTGGGATCATGTAGGGAGTGGCAGGACTCTACAGGAATTCTGCAAACGCTGGATCAGAGGATGTCTCAAGTTTGTGCGACACAGGGACGCTGCTGCGCATGTTGCACCAAGAAACCAGCGATCTTCGACCATCAAAACCAGGACTCGCAAGCCCAAGACACGTGGTACGACTGGTGCAGAAAGTTTGATTGTCACGCCCGCTTGCACAAACAAAGCGACGATTGATGGCTCAACTTTGCCAGCTAATTTCTCGAATCGGGAAGTTGGGCAAAGCTCACGCGAAGCTTTCGCGAAGATTGCACGGGCTCTCGCACACGATTTGGCTCAAAATGGTTCTCGTGTAGGCCCATCACTCTTTACTCTTTGTGAGCCGTTGCGGAGTTCCTTGCGGCGTTCCTTGCGCCGTGCTTGCGCAGACCTTGCGTGCGTCTCTACAAGCTATGCTACACTTAGTTTTCGTTTGCGGAAATCAAGGACAAGGGATTTGGGACAACCCTCAGATGACAGCAGTGCCCAATGATGATCCGACATAAGTTCACAAGAAAATCTCAGGCTACGAGGAGGGAGGATAGTCAACACAATGCCGGGGCTGACGCCATCACCATGAGTAATACTGTCTGGACAGACCCAGGGCGTCTCGCGGCATGTCAGGCAAAACCTTCCTGTTGCCTCTCGCGCGGCCACCGAGATCATCAAACTTTAGCTTCATGAAAACACTAGATCCTGAGATGTCATTACATCCAGAACCAGACAAGCATCCCCGCATTTCCCGCCCAAGCCTCCACTGCAACGCCGAGTACTGTACGTTAATTGTGTCATCCCTCGGGATTGAACCCTGAAACATCGAGATGGGCCGTCAACGTATGCGAAAACCCTAATCCCAAAAAAAACAGCGCTGATCCGCTGGGGTACACTCGGCCTTTGCCTTGGGAGGCCAGACGCTCGCGAACAAAGGCCACCCCTTCGCGAAGATGCTCTAGGGTCCTCGGGTTGGGGTGCAGGGTTTCAGGGCTAAGGGGTTTACGGGAGAGGCACGATTTGTTCCGCAGCCTGCTGCGGATCTGTAATAACAACAAGACTCTGTCACGAGGATATGACGGGGCGTCAGTCTTGAGAGACAGCCGGTTGGATACTTCAAGAGTAAAACGGAGCTCCCTGTTGACCAAGAGATGTATGATGGAAAATGTGTCGATGTTGGGGCTTCCCATCTTTGAAATTTCTGCTCGTGCCCTCCCGTTTGGGAGCTGATGTGTGGGGCTTGGACGGCTTTGGGCTTCAGAGTTC